TGCGCCTGCATCGCCTTGTTAAGCAGGGGAGCGACGTCCATGCCAAAGTTCTGGAGAGGTGACCTGTCTTAGGTTTAATAATAGTTCTCTGTTCTTCATGTAGTATTCTTTATGTTTGTGTTTGGCAGTGGTGTAAAGAAAGAATTCTACTTCAAGTAAAAATAAATATAAAAGATAGAAACAGCTGAACCTACACTCACAACACTATTGTACTACTTTATTGTCACTGTGTGAAGCAGCCTGCAGCACTGAGTGATAGATACCAGGGATGGTAACATTCATGACATAAACAACATATTGTGAAGTGTGTCATGTTCAAATAACACCAGCTCAGATGATCTGGCTCCCTCTAGATTTAATCATGATAATGTCTAATTAACAGAAGACGTTTAGATCTTTATGGATCTGAAACAACTGCCAGAGTCAGGCTGAGTAATAGCAAGAATCCAGTGATACAATTCGTATCGTTCAGGTTACTACCATAGGAACAGAAGGATCTACATCTGTTATCACTAGAAAAGAAATACAATTAATCAATGCAGTGAATAGTTGCATGTTAATTGTAACAGTGCTGTAGAATATCAATATCTCTCGCTCTGTCTTCCTCTTTTCTCTCTCTCTCTCTCACACTCTCGCTCTGTGTATATATAAATATGTATATATTACTCTCTCCCTCCAGATTACCATTGCCCAGTAAGTCAGCCGACTGGACCCACTTTGGAGGTAATGTACAGAACAACAACACTAATGATGTCATAATATAACAGCAGGTCAGACCCGATCAGGCCTGACCAGCCGATCAGCCGAAAGTGGACATTGTGGAATTTGTTCAGCCAGGAGTTTTTTTCTTCTTGTTTCCCTTCACCAAACAAAGTTCCCTCAGTTCTCTGTTCAGTAACATCAGTTTGTATCAGTTCCACTCTCAACCACAACTCAGAAACAACTTTTCCTCAGATTGACTTTGATCAAGTTCTGATTTTCTTCACCACAAAAGAAATACACTGTGGTTTCTCAGAGATCTGTAGCTAAAACAGAATAAACAGTGTTTGTTAGAATGAACAGGAAAGTGTTTTTTAACAGAAATGAATTTCCAGCATTTAATAACTTAACTGTCAGTGAAATGATTTTTAAACTTCACTCTTCTCCTCTCAACAGTTTCTCTATTCAAATGTCAACAATTGATGCCAAATTTTGAACCAACATGATCTGACAGATATTATTTTTAATTTTCTTTTCCTTAAATCTCCACATATTTCTCACTACTACTATGTATGTATGTAAGTGTGTGTGTGTGTGTGTGTTTGCGCTGCAGGGTTAACGACATGATTATTACCCTTCTCCTCCTCCTCCTCCTCAGGCTCCGCTCCTCTGGACGAGCTCCACACGCTGCGTAGCCAACTGCTCCTGCTGCACAACCAGCTGCTGTATGAGCGCTACAAGAGGGAGCAGCATGCCGTCCGCAACCGACGCCTCCTGAGACGCATCATCAATGCCACGGCGCTGGAGGAGCAGAACAACGCCATGGTGAGTTCTCACCACACCCTTGTCCAAGTTTGAAACTGCTGCAGCGTGGAACCTGGTCTCGCTGGTACCATTTCCATGTCCTGGTACTAATTCCTGTAGCAGTGCTAGTTTCCATGTATGAAATGCATGTTTACCAGGTCCATAGGAAGAATTCATATACGTTCTACGACTGTTGGTAATATATATATTCAATGTTTTTGCTGGTGAATATATGCCTTTTTTCCCTCTAGAAAAAGAATAACTTTTTAAACTGCCTGGAAGTCGGTGTGTTCACAGTCTGTCTGTGTCTGCCTGTGTCCTGTTTCAGAAGGACCAGCTGAACCTCCAGAGCGTGGACCTGCAGTCTCTGAGGGACAGCCTGCAGGTGGAGCAGCAGAGGTACAGACAGCTGTGGGAGGACAGGGAGACAGTGGTGACCAGGCTGCACAGTCAGATCAGGCAGCTGCAGCAGGGCCGGGACGACTACTACACCAAGACCCAAGAGCTGCAGGTAGAGCAGAGGTCATAGGTCATAGGTTTCAATGAGTCAGTGAGTTTACTCACTTTTGACATAGGTTTCAATGACTCATGAGTCAGTGAGTTTACTCACTTTTGTCCTGATCTGTGTCTCGATCCAGACTAAACTGCAGGAGTGCCAGAAAACCATGGCTGAACTGGAGGCGGAGCTTCAAAGAGCCAACAACAAAGTCTGTCACACTGGTCACCTCCTCAACCAGATGACCATCAAGGTAAAGAGGAGGCGCAGCTTCACTGCCAGGGAGGGGCTAACAATGAGCTCATGCTCATTAACTGAGTATAGGCTTCACCTTTTAACCTCTCACCTTCAACTTTGAATTAGGTCGTAGATTTAATTAAATTAAATTAAAGTCATAGGTACAACACTGTGCCCTCCCCCTCCAAGTTACACCCACACACACACACCTTCACATCCACAGAAACACACACGGATGAACACACACACACAGATGTTTGTTGTTTTACTTTCTATGGTTGTACAAGTGAGCAGAAAATCTTTTTTTTTAATTCTTCCAACAATCCCAACATTTGATGTCAAACCTCAGTCCAGGAAAATCCAAACTTTAAGCTGTCATTGTCAGAATTCTTTCTCACTTCACTCTGGGGTCCCCTAGAGGTGGAGTGCTGCATGTTGAGAACCACAGTCATTGATTGGACTTTTATTAGATGTTTGAATGTTCGGTGCGACAACCTTACACACTAATAAATGTGAAACGAATGCATAACCAGCTACAAAAATCAGTCTGAGCAGAAACATGCTTTAAGATGAAGAAACATTTTTATTTTTACATCAATCGCCACAGTTTGGGAAAGAGGGGCAGACCCACATGGTCATCTGAGGTCGCGCGCGTGTGTGTGTTACATGGGCACATGCTTCTATGTGTGTGTGTGCATGCATATGTCTCTGGGTGTCTCGTTGTTAGAGTCTGTGTGTGTGTGTCTCCCCCTCTCCCTCCCTGTAGAGATGGTTCCAGGTATCTGTTGCCGCGGTAATCTAGTCTGTCCGTCTCTATTTTTAGGATGTTTTTTGACGTGTGTCTGTGTGCGTGTGTGTTTTCTCTACCACCACCCCCCCCTTCCCCTCCCCCCCACACACACACACACACCCTCGCTCTCTCTGGATGTTTCCCACCTTGTGGGTTTGACTTTTTTTCCTCCCCTTCTGTTTTCCTACATTGACCCAGACTGAAAGTGAGCTGCTGTCACACAGAGTTTGAGTCGAACTGCAGCTCCTGGTTCATGACACCATGAATAAAAACATGTTTGTCTGGATGTTACAGGCTGTCAGGACACACAGTGGTCAACACTTCTCTGCCAGCACTTTTAATCAGGAAAAATCATTCAACTTGTTCAAAGAGGAGTTTTTTCTTTTATATCTACTTTAAAGATGTGCTGCAAAATTTAAAACGATCTTCTAACTTATCTGTTTCTGTGCTAACTTAAAAAAAACTTTGACAAACTTCTAGGTTGACAAACTTCTAGGTTGTGTTTGTCTGGCTTTTTAGTTTTAGCACATTTTTGCTAACACCTAGTCGTTCCAAGGCTATTTTTAAACAATCTTTTTAATTGAATGTGTTTATCTTGTGCTGCAAATGTAGCATTTATTTAAGCTAGTGTCAAGAAGCCAGTCAGGTTGTTTTTTTCCCCTTTAATCTTTATTGAGATTATTTAACAACTACAAACTATATTTAAAAAAATCAAACAAAGCTGCGTGGCTATTGCACATTATTTCACATTTTTGTAGAATTTTTTTTTTCATTCATTATTAGTAAGGATCGGAAAAAGGTTAAAATCAGACATCCCTAATTATTACTCTACCTTTTTTGACAGTTCCAGAAAATGTGAGAGTTGTCTACATTAAAAAAGCTGCATACCTGCTAACATTTCTGATGACTATGAAGATGTTGAGTTCTGACTTTGGGTGTGAATTAAAAAAACAAACCAGATTCATGAATTGGTGGATGAGTGATGTGTCTTCCACATTTCGAGCCATTCCCTATCTGAAATTGTTCTATAAGCCTCAGCTCTGTTTCCTGTTTAAAGGTAGCGATTTCTTGTTTCATCTCAACTTTGAGTTTGTCTTTGAATGTTTAGAACATTTTCTGATCTGATCAAACATCACATTTTTAACCATACTTGAAAGGATACCTGTTAAAATGACTGAAGCACATGTAGAACCATCTGAGTTTTTCTATATTCCTGAAACTACATTTAAAGAAAGTGTATTTCAGCCCTTAGACCAGACTAAGAAGCAGGCTATGACTTGGTGTCAAAGGTCATCCTCCAGAATCCAACAGTGAAGGAGTTCTTTGATGGAAAACCATTGAAGAAGAGGGTAGACTGAAACACGGAGGAGGTGGAACAAAGACAGGGATTTATGTTCATGAATAAAGATTTGTGATCACGTTGACCATTCTTAGCACTTTTTGACTTAACCTCCTATCCCTGGAACAACCTTCTGTTTGTAACGTCACATTTCTTGCCTTTGTCTTTGTCTCATGTCCTTCAGCTGAACAACAGTGAGAGCACCCAGCAGCAGATGAGCTTCCTGAACAAGCAGCTGCTGCTCCTTGGGGAGGCACATAAGCTGTCCATGCAGGAGCTACAACACGCCGGCTCCGACAACACAAAGGTACACTCTAAAATATCTGTGTGTGTGTTTGTCAGACACTAATGATGTTTCTTGGGCTTTGGTTCAAAATTGTCTGACACTTTGTTATCAGGCAGAGTGTCTCTTCCAGACTCAGAACTTTGTGTAAATGTTTACATGTAAGTTGTAAAGTGGAATGTTTTCCCAATGTTTAATATATATATATATATATATATACACGTAAGAAAGGGCAGAGGGTCAAAGATAGTTTCTCTAGGAAAACTCAGTTCTGTTTTGAAAGCCTTTTCAAATTCTGCCCTTGCACAAAAATAGCAGACACAAAACGTATCTTTTCTCTTTTTGATCCTTGTTGCACAGGAGACTCAGATGCGGCAGACATCTTTCAACAAACAGGTGGAGTCCCTGAAGCAGAGTCTGCTGGTGCAGGGTCAGAAACTGGAGGCAGCTCAGCAGAGAGTGGCCGAGCTGGAGACACACCTGACCAAGAAAGACCATCTCATCGCTGAGCAGAAAAAGTTTCTGGAGGATGTAAAGTGTCAGGCAAAGTAGGGATTACTTGTATCATTGATTTTTTTTTTTACAGTTTTTTTTAATTGTTTTTCCTTCTTTAATTGTCCTGTAACCCTCCCCTCCCCCCCTGTGGCTGTCTTTAGAGTGGAGCTTCAGGCATCAGAGGGCAGGTACCAGGCTCAGAGGAGAATCACTCAGCTGCTGCAGACTGAACTTCTGCAGCTCTACAGTCGAGTGGAGACCGAGGCTCCGGCCGGCACTGCGGCCAGTTCACCATCAGGGGGCAGAGCTGAGCCTGCTGACGCCAGGTTGAACTTTTTTAAACAAAAATTCATCTGTAATAATAAATCCATAACAAGTTTATGTGTATATGTACAGTCTTCATACATTTATACATTTAAATTTATACATAAATTCAAACATTGATACAAACATTTGTTCTAAATCAGTTGATTCTTGTTTGCAAGCAGCTGTATTTGTTCAAGAGTATTTTGGTTTTATAATGTCACATTATCTCCTCAGCAGTGTTCCAGCTCCAGCTGGGTCAAGTAAAGGTCATGTGAACAAGGACGTGTCAGCTGTTAGGTCAACACACGACTCACCTCGTGGCAACGGCAGCACTTTATCTGCAGGTCAAATGAAGACCAGCAAATCTTCCAAGGTGCCATCCACCTCTGTCAACGGCAGCCAGAATCTGGCCCCGCCCCAGCTGGTGGAGCCCTCACCGTCCTGTCCACACTTCAGCCCGCTCTCACCCCTGCCCTCTGCCGCCGATGCTCCACTCACTGTGGGCTCCTATCCCAGTGCCAAAAGCTTCCTAGGCATGAGGGCTCGAGAGCTGTTTCGTAACAAGAGTGAGAGTCAGTGCGACGAGGAGCAGCAGCCGCCTCCACGCCTCGCCGGCCTGGCTAACGCTCTGAAGACAGAGCTGTGTGTGGAGAAGAGTTCTAATTCAACTCCTCAACCACCACCACCACCACTACCACCGCCGCCTGTCACCTCCAACAAGGAGCCTCGGCCACCGCCGTCATCGGAGCAGACAAAGCAGCGCTCAGCCTCCAGCCAGGAGAGTCCACGCAAGAAGGTGCCAGGACGGGGTCAGGCAGCAACAGGTCGACTGAGGCAGCAGCAGCAGCAGCAACAACATTGTCTAAAGATCATGGACTATAACGAGACACATCATGAGCACAGTTAGAGATGTAGAACTGAGCTGTGACTGAGAGGAAGGACGGAGAGAAGAGCTAAAAATGAGCAAGAGTTTCTGCTACTCTGACCAATTCAGTGTTATTTGGATCCATTCCTCTGAGTGGACAACAGGATTCCTCCCACTTTTCCTTCTTTTTAATTCCACATTTAATCATTCCCGTGAATCGTGTATTTACAAAGAGACAGAGTGAATGTGTTACCAGCCAGGATGCTAGAGTCAGGAGTTGGACCATGAGACGAAGATGCTCACGAGATCTGCTAGAAGGAAGGTGAGACCAGGTATCTAAGGGTGGTAGAGGTGGTAGAACTAACCAGAAGGTTCAGAAGGTTCTGTGGGACGGTTCAGGTTTTATTTGTCCTCAGCCCTGACACCTTTATCAGGAGCTGGTTTCTGAGTGATTGGATTAATGTGGACAGTGATGGGTCCAGGTCTGAAGACAACTGATGTCCTCCAGTGTCTCCTGGAGACATTTTAACCAGCTCACAGTGGTCTTTCTCCTATTGCCCACATCTAATCTGATACCAGAGTTCACTCCTAAGGTTGGAACATTGTTAACCTTGACAGCACCTTCAGGTTTCTTCACTGTGAAGAACTGTTTACTGCAAAGACATCTACAATCATCTGTGGTTGTATTTGGATTCTCTAAAAACCCCAGCAACCAGCCACACATGACCTGGACAAATAAAACCTGTCTGTCCAGCAGGGGTCAGTAAAGGTTTATTGTTAGTATTATTTATATGAAGAGAATGTTTAGGTTTACATTGTGTAATGATGCCGTATGAGCTGCAGATTTCCCACATGTTGGACTCTAGTGAGCATCACAGGAAGAGGGTGAGCCCACCATTTTACTGGAGCAAAAGTGAGTTTGTTAAAGAGACAGTTCAGGTTATTTAGAGTTTGTTTGTATGAGCTTTTTAATACTTCATCTCCACTGATAGTTCACAGGAGATGGTTCTCCACAAAACACATTTGGCAAAGTTAAATTATAAACATTATATCTGTGTACAACTTAACCTTTTCACAGGAAATGTTATCACATCAAAGTCTAAAGAAAACAAGTGATTTTAGCTCAAAGGGACACAAAGCTGCTCGATCACTGAAGATAGAACCATCCGTGGATTAACAACAGTATCGAAATGCTAAAAATCACTGATTTTCTCTATGAACTTTGGTCTGTGAGCTAAAATAACAGGTTTTCTCTACGGACTCATTGGTTGTCGTTTAGAACTGTCTGTTGTTGAGATAAAGTATAGGTCAGTGTTAAAATGTTTTTTTACCTCATACTTTTAAACTTTAAAAAAAATTAAATGTCTCTTTAACTCACTGGTCTTAAGCCTAAGATGTTTCATTAATTTCTTTTATTTATTTTATTTACCAGGCCCTACAAAAAGGGCACAGTTTGGTAAATGGTTGGTTACATTTTGGTCAATGTCCAATGAGAAGAGTAGTTGAAAATAAGACAGAGTTTAAGTTTTACTCATTTTTTAAAAAGATATTTCTCACTGTGTTTTATTTCCTCACCCACATTCCCATGTCCTGAATCTGAATCTCACCTGGAGAGTGACAAATATTTCGAAATATTTTTGGCCAAACCTGTCAGCTGACTGTTCAGGAGGTGCCACAACATCAGCTGAACAGGTTCCTGTAGGTCTGATAATGTCACCATTCCCTCCCCCACCTCCACTCCCCCTTTTTTGGTGAAATGAACTCCTCTAGTCAATCCTGTTGTCCACCAGGAGTTCCTGCTTTCTTTCCTTCTGCCTCGCTATCTAAACAAACAAAAGCATGATCAACAATCCACGTTAAAGCCAACCGTAGTATCTACAGTTTTAAACTCCAGACTGGACGTACAATCAGCACAAAACCGGAAGAAACCCGAAGGGCAGAACCACGGGATTTGGGACAAACGTGTTAAAAAGGAAGTTATTAAAGCAGTGGCTTGTGTTTAACTGTGAACAATAAAGATCGTCGTCAATGTTTTGCACTACAGCTACTGAGTCTTTGTGTTTTATTCCCTATGTAAATGTCACAGTCATTTGATTTTGTGGAACTTTTTCTTTTTTTTTTTTACAGAAAACCAGTAACAGAATCTGTTGGTTTAATAGCACTAAACCTAGTTTGAGCAAGAACTGAAGACTGTGGACATTCAGTTGAGGAGCTAGGTAAAGTGAGCAATGGCCATCAAAAACTGTACCAAGACCGTGTGTTTTCTTCACATCCATTAGAACATGTGCCAGGAACAGTTCCAAAAACAACTATAACAAACTATAATAAAGTATATGTTCAAACCACATGATCTAGTAAAAGTAGACACGAGTGTTAAGAACTGTTTTGTTTATGGTGCAGGAACTGGTGACAACACACGGTGTAGTAGTGCGAATAAAACCAAGAGGCAGACAGGAAAAACTATGCGTATTGACCATTTATACAACGCAATTCCAATATGGTCAGTGTCAAACATGTTAAATGCTATAAAAATAAATATATATTAATTAATCTTTAACTTTTATAAATAAAAAGCAAAACAATGCTTGAAAAAATAAATAACAAAATATGAGGTTTGGAGAAAAAACAACATATTTACCTCATAGGCTTTTTTACTTGACGGGACTACTTGATACGGCGGAGGGTTTTCTAACCCTGGTGCTGTTGTATCAAACCAAGCTTAAGTTCAAAACATATTCGTCACACCCTCTTCTTTTTACTAAAAATAAAGGGCACACATTTTTAGACTACGTATTTAACGACAACAACATACTTGTCAACTTTCACGCCGTACAGGTGAGTTAGAGTCGAAATGCGCCTTTAATCAGGTTGTTTAACAAATTTGTTTGAACGGCTGCTCGTCGTCGTCTTGGCTGGCTAGAAAAAGACCTTTGACGACGTCTTGAGTCGTAGGACGGTTTGTTTTAGTGGTCGGGAAAATGTTCAGTCGTAAAAAATACTTCTCAATTTATTTATATTGTGTTAAGTTATTAAAACTTAACATAAATAAGTAAAACAACAGTCTCAACCACATTTTGATTGCTATGAAGGTGTTTTTTAGTTACACATGTATATAAAAAAGACGAGACAAAGAGACCGTAATGAAATTGTATAATTAAGTCTTTCTCTACTCCAGCCACCAGAGGTCACTGCTACTCCAAGAAGAAATCCCGGCAGCCATGTTGGATCAACAGGTAAGAGACTGAAACACTGTGAACGTAAATGCGGTTTTACAGAGTCTAGGGTTCGACGTGATCCCAGATCCTGAGGTCGTTAGTCAGTGTATGATCGATGACATAACTGTGTCGGTCCCTAACGACGCAATGTAATCTATATCTGTCAGAACAAACCACAAGCTCACTCTCACAACCAGCCTGTAAGTGTTGACAGGATTTCACAGGCATTAAATTAAAATTTAGTGTCCTTTGACAGATGCTGGTGGTTAACATTTTAATGTTGTAGTTTTTTGTTTTGTTTGTTTTTTTTTGTGTTTGTTTTGTTTTTTTTCTGTTAAATGAGTGTGGCTTAAAAAAAACAAACATAAGATAAATGTTTAAAGATATATAAAAAAAATACATAAAATAAATAATACATAAAAATACATCTTAAATGGGTACTGCAATTTCAGTTCCAATGACCTTCCTTCCTGGTACTGTTGTCGTGTGTTGTGGTACTTATCTAAGTTGCTGTCACTGGGTTACTTTTAGTTCTTGGTACTATCCTTAGTTTCTGGTGCTATTTTTAGTTTCTGATACCTTCAGGCCTTGGTTCCCAGTACTTTTTCTAGTTCTGTGTACCTTTTTTATTATTGGTTGTTGTCTTAGTACTACATCCTAAATGGCTGGTACTGTTCTTAGTTCTTAGAACCTGGCCTGTTCTTGCAGTAAAAGTCACCCTTTTATCCATTTCAACCAAGACTGTGCCCCGAGCCACAGTTTAGTCCACCTCAGACCTTTAATCCGCTGATGCTACTGGTTTGTAGGTCACAGTTTTCTATCAACTCCACTGATCGTCCACATGCACCTCCTGTCTCCTGCTGGTTGTGGGGTTTTTAGTTCGTTCTCTTGACAGCCTTGTGCTGTACCTTCACCACCATGAGGTGGTCCGTCTGATGGCACATATTCATGGATATTATGGGATGGGTTATATGTTTTTTCCACGACAAAGATTAGTGAGAAATCTTTGAATGAATATTAACTAAATGAATGAATGAGTTCTATAGAACCGTTTCTCTAATGAACAGCAGCCAGTGTGTGGTGTGTGTACGTGTTGATTTTGTGTTTGTGTGAGATTTGTTTTTACGTATTCTCATTCTGTGTTATAATTTTTTGTTACTTTTGTGTGGTTTGTTGATCTTGTGTGTTTTGCTAGATGTGTATTTTTAAGTACATATTTTCGTATATTACTTGTTTATTGTGTGTTCTTTTGTATAGATAGTCATATTCTTTGTTTTTTTTCTGATAATTTTTTCTGTTAGATTTTTGTTTTTGTGTACATACATATACATATTCTGTATTTTAATTTTGTGTTTGTTTTTGTTGTGTTTCGTGTGTTTCTGTGTACATATTTCCATATATTATCTGTGCTAATATTGTGTTTTGTGTACGTTCTGTGTGTTGTGTGTAAGTTTTGTGTGTTTTGTGTAAGTTCTGTGTGTTTTGTGTAAATTCTGTGTGTTGTGTGTACATACAGCACTCTCGTATATTCTGTGTAACTGTGTGGATTTTACCGTCTCCCAGTTTCTGGGGACTTGTTCCTGACTCTCATCCAGCTGAATCTTTTTTTAATTTTTTGTGAGCACAGCCGACCGCAGTATGATTAGTTTATCAAACGTGTGCATATGTATTTCCAGAAAAAGAAAAATCAGGCTGAAAGAGAAAAAGTGTTATGATTAATTTACCAGCGTTCCGCAGGGTCAAGGAAATTGATGCAGGATAATTGGGCACACAGGGAATCCTCGGCAATTTGTGCTTTCAGACTCCACTGGAGAAATTAGATGTCAGTGCAAATGTGAAATTGCTCCTCAATGTTCGCAAAGATTCCATGAAAGTTTAAATATAAATCTTAAGTATTTGCAGCGAAGGGGATTCTCTTTCTTTCCTCTCTCTTTTTTTTTGTGCCAAACTTGAAATGAATCTGCGTGAAATTGATGTGAAATGAAGTGAAGAGAAGAAGGAAACACGAGGAGAGTCGGTGTAAAAGTTCAGCGGCTAAAATCCTCACACAAGAATTCATTAGGTTTTCTCTCTGACAAGGAAGAGTGAAAGTTTGAATTTGTCTGAAGACGTACTTTCATTATCATATTTCACATTCGTACACCTTTATGCTAAAAGAACACCGCCACGCTCAAACCTTCTGCAGCCTATTTTTTTTTCTTCTTCTGATTCTTTTTGTGTTTTTTCAAACGTAGCGCACGTTGGTTGTGTTGGTTTGAATGAGAATAAATGAAAGAGCAGTGAATAATTGATACAAAGCTGCAGTTACAGTAAATATTCATCAGGTTCTGGACGTCGGTGATTGATGAAGTTTGTCAGAGTTTGAAGGAAGTTTGAGTTTCATCCTGAAACTAATCAACTTTTTATTTATATTCCTTCTCCTCTCCAGTTGCTGACAACTTCTTTTTCACTGTGTTTTTACGGTTGCTCTGATCAAACTGAGACGTTTCAGCGTCTGTGGAGATGTTTGAGTGTTTGGATTTTGAATAAGGTCCTTAAAAATCTGCAACATTTGATTAGTTCACATTTACATGTCTGTCCTGATAACACTGCACATACTGTATATATATAAAATTATCGTTACTACAGATGAAAGTGCTTGAATCTTGAATCTAAGATTATAGACATTGAACCGTTGATTATTTGTGGATTAATCTGTTTATGTTTCTCTGCATGAAGAGCTTTAAATCAAAATTTCATGATTTAAATAATGTACTAACAGCCAAAACATTTTTCTTTTGCCAGACATTGATTGTTTAATCGAATTTACTGATGATTGATAATCAATCAATTATTTGACATAGTTTCAGTCCTAACTATAGTTTTGAAGAAAACAGACTTTTGTTCCACTTTTTAGACAAACAACTCTTTGATGAATCAAAGTAATAAACATTTGGAATCAATAAGAACACTGTGCTGTTCAGCTCTGATCAGGATGATCTGAATTCTAATATTTATAAAAATAATTATCAGTATATTAAAACATCCATCCCTCTGTAATCCTGAGCAAAATAAGGATTAAAGTTAAAGGGGATTATTTTTGGTCGTCATGCTGCTCCCACTGATCTACAGGTGGAAAACAGCTCCACTTTCCTCCATTTAAAAACTAAAGCCTTCATGAATTAATCATCAGTAAAATATTTTTTATTCAGTTTTTAATCTTTGACTTCTAGGAAAATTAGTTCACTGACTAAATAATTATCAACACTCAAACCGAGTTCCTTATCTCAGACAGATGAACAGAACCATCAGGTCTGATCCTGACCGGGATGCTGGTTTTGGATCAGAGAGAGAGAGAGAGCGCAGTCATAATTAAAGTGAGGAGGAGGAGGATGATGATGATGATGGTGGTGATGATTCATCTTTTTCTCTGCTGCCGCTTCTTTTTAATGAAATCTAAAGGAGAGTATAAAAACCCAGATCTTTCTTTCTCCTTTTTTTCTGTTCCCTGAGGTTTAATTAGTTAAATTATCTTCTCGTCCAGTTCCTCTAAAAACACACCATTAAAGTTTTCTGGTTTGGGTTTATCTGATTAAAAAAAACTGGATGGAGGCAGAGATGAAAGGCACAACGTGTCAGTGTTAATCAGCAGAGTTATAAGAAAGTGTGTGTGTGTGTGGGTACATTTCACTTTTAAATATATATATATTTAAACACTTCTAAAACGTTGCCTTCCTCTAAGATTCAGTGAATAAAGTCCGCTAGATTTACGCCATGTTGTATTTCCTGCTGTTCAGTGAAATTTGCAATAGTTTATGTTGTTAAATACATGTTTCAAAATATTGATGC